TTATCTAAGGAAATCAGCTGACTGCAGGCTATACGTCGGCCATGTCGTTGCCATCAAAACTGGCATTGGCTCACTGCGATGTGGAACCATCAATGTTCTGATCTCCAAAGGTAATCACACTACTTTGATCGCACACTGCAGAACACACACTGCACTGGGAAATCCCGAAATATGGAAGCAACTTACAGGGTACAAATTGAAAATATGTGTGGAAAAAAGAATAAATGAAAAATATAGCAAAAACCGAATAGTTCGTCAGCCTGAGAAAATGTTTAGGAGTTGAGATGAAAAACATCTACGATTGTGTTATACAACCCATTTCCTACCATTGATTTTCAAATGTCAATACCTTCTGCTTGTACTTCAATTGTGTGGGAAGTGAACTTGAGAAAAGTACCATAACTACCGTTACACCAGTGTTCAATATAAAACCATTAGAATGAACTCTCAAATAGGACCTAAAAAAAGGGAGCATGTTTGTTGCAAAAAGAGAAAAATCTGAACTACATGGGCTGAAAATATAAAGAAAGATAAATACTTTTTCATGAGAGCCCAGCGTTTTGGCCTTCCTCGGACCACAACAGTAGCCGATGTACTATAGTGAAGGCAGATGGAGCAGTTGGGAAACATTGTGTAAACGTGAAATGCTGAAGCCTCAGAAAGACCAGTTCTCAATGCGGACTGAAAGTGCGACCTAGAATAAAGTTGTACGAAATAAATTGATAATGGATCAAAGATGCCTTGGTTAGTCAAGTTAACACGTTACAGGGGTTTTTGGCTCTCAAATTTGCTTGAACTTTCTGAATAACTCCTCTTTCTACTACAATTGGCCCAAATGCAAAATACCGTAGCCCACGTCCAGACGTGGCCGATGAGGCGAAGCGAATCCATGTGAGGAAATTTAGAGAGCTGTGGGGGTGCAGAGTTTGTGATACGGACTCGCTGATAACAGGCTGTGGGTACATTCACCCAGAACTGGATGGACGCGGCAAACTGCGCGGCGAAATTCGTGGTGATTATAACGGCTTTGGCGTCTATCATTAGACCACGGGTTTCAAGTAGATTGGATAAGTAGGGCCAACTGATGCTACTTATATATCCCACTTCAAATTTGTGTCCCAATGACAGGCGCCAGAGTCGTTTCAATCACCACGAATTTCGCCTCGCGTCCATCCAGTTCTGGGTAAACGTTTCGTCCTCCCTGATAAAATCGACAGAATCACTAAGAGGACGTGCTAAGGAAGCTATAACTGCTGAATGTCGACATCAAACGCAAAGTAAAAAACGAGTGTTATGAGGTCGCGTTGCTTTTCTAGAAATTTTGCAAAAAGAAAAAACGATGCTGGGGTTCCACAGAGACATTGCCCCCTCTAGTGCTCCGCAGTGACACATTCAAGGTGCCTCCTCGTTTGGACAATAACCGGAAAAGGAACATGAGCAAGAAGAATTGAAAGGCGTATCAGAAAAAGCGAAAGCGACGTGGAGTAATGAGAAAGAGTTTAATGAGAGTTAAGACACGTGGTATTTTATATGTGAGAAGGGCCGTATGGTTGCGCCCTACAGTCCCAACCCAAGACCGCAAACTCTCGGAACGAAAGGTGATCTTCGCCGTGCTTTTACGCAGATGGTGTAGCTTCTTATCATAGGATACATGGCCACACAACGAAAGAACCTTGCACAGCCCTTCAAAAAATCGATTGGTGTCACTGTTTCAATTAATGGTGCAAGCATAGGTCCACAAAAACGTACGAG